AGCACTGCCCCACCACCCGCCTCTGCAACGTGGTCTTCATGCCGGCCCGCTTCACCCCGGTGCTCTACAAGGTGAGGTTCTGCAGAGCGGGGGCAGTGGGGATGCGAGGCTGCCGAGGTGTCACGACCACAGCTGGTCTGTGGGCATCTGGAGAGCGTTACCAGGGGTTTGTGGGGCTCCCTAACGCGCGGGGGCTTGGCGGCTTTGTCCTCTGAGTGTCTCTGCTTCATTACGGATCGCCACAAATGCCGCACAAGTTTCCACCAGGAAGTCTGCCTTTGTTTAATTAAGCAAATATATCTGTATCAGGCTATTACAAACTACCATCAGCAATCCATAACACAGTATGGCAGCAATCACTAACAGAAACAAACAAGCGTATAGCAACAACAAATAACAGCAATAAATAAGTAGGTATATACTATTACAGATTATTGCAAACTCACCACCAATGCAACAGCAGATGTGCTTATGATAGATTACCTATGTGGATGTATATAATACAGGTATCAAGGGAATTAGGCAGTTTTCAGACGGGGTCCAGCCATCTGTCACAGATGAATTATTAAGAGAAGTCATAGTTGTGGGGTGAACTAAAATGGTTTTATTAATTGTTAAACAAGGATCAAATTATAAATAATTTGAAGAATAATTAAAATATAAATATTTGAAGAATAATTAAATGGTAATCAAGTGGTGATTAAGCAGTAATTGAATGGTAATGAAATACTGATTTAACAGTGATTTAAATGATGATTTAAACGATAATTTAGATGGCAGTCCAACACTCTACTACTTGTTACTCTTCTAATAATTAAGCTACAGCTGTATATATATATATAAAAATGTTGCTAGCATACAATATACCTTTAGGCCCAATATAAAATGTCACTTACGTCATTATAGATACCAGATGCCAGGTAAGAGGTCTCTTAACCTCGAGGAGTAACCTTGAGAGGCATCCCTGCTCAAGGGAGATCCCCGCCGTGCAGCCTGCTGCAATATGCAGGGGAGCTCAGTGGGCTTGGAGGGCTACGTATATTTATAACGTAAAGTTGTGGACTCGTAGTGGACCCCCGCTTTGGTGTCTGCGCAGACGCAGCTGCAGCAGTTGTAGTGTTGTGTAGTACCAGCTCAGGCTGGCCCTGTTGGCTCCTGAGGAGATGAGTCCTAGAGTCCTCAGTGCCTGGGAGGATCTGGCCTGGCGCTGTCCCCGTAGTTTGCACAGCACGGCTCACTGCAGTTGCGGCTTCGTGTCGGTGGTGCCTGAACCAAGGCACTCTGCATTTGGTTGGAGCAGGGCATCCCCCACACCATCCCAAGGGGCACCCAACCACCCCAGAGGCAGGAGGGCAAACCGAACCAACCCCAAAAGTGGGGCCAAAGGGGCACCAGTGAGGTAACTGACGTCAAAAACGCTCCGTGTCGCAGGACAGGATGTTCTCAGAGAGAAAGTCTCCATGTTGGATAAAAATTAAGTCTGTTTTAGGAGGGTGTAGCACACCACCACTCCAAGCAACCAATAGATGCTATTAACTTCTGTTTGTCACCTGGAACAGCCAATAGGTGATTATATTTTTGTTCTTTCAGAGCCATTTTGCTTTTCTAGACTGTTTCTACTTTTCCAGATGATAAGATGTCATTGCAGTCCCTTGTGTTTTCCACTTATAGGTGGTATCTCACACACACACACACAGCTGCACCTCAGATGCGTAGCTGCACTTCTCAAGCATGTTTCTGGCTCCCAGCTCCCAGGCTGGCAGTCGTTTTGCTTTGTTTGGTGGTTTTCCCCTTCTGACCAGGCTCCTTTCCAACTGCCCACATGGCGAGGTGTAAGCGACGTGAGAGGCTGGGCACGCCGGAGGCACCCTTGGGAGCCAGCACGCCCCGCAGTGCCACCTGCACCAGCCCTGCTGCCCCAGAAGCCAGTTGTGCTGGTGTGTGCTCTGCCCTCAGCCTGAGCTGGGAGCCATTGGCCAGGATGCCCAGGGTCTTCTCTGGACCTAAGCCAGGACACAGGGTCATGGGCCCAGCCCTGCTGCTGTGGTCTGCCCTGACACCGTTCTGGTCCCCACAGACAGCATCTGACTGGTCCAGAGTGGGCTGTGCCTCCAAAAACAAGACCTTCCTCGTGATGAGTCAGCCCATTGTTAGTTATAATTTATGGTTTCATTTCGTTTTCACCATTTTATTATGTAACATATTTAACTTAATCAGTTTGAAAGTCCCCAGAAGAAAGATTATACACTGACACGCGGTGGGAAAACTGAGTCACAAATCTGCTGAGAAAGTCCGCTTGTCCATGGCCACGTGCTGGGTTGCTGAAGCGGGTGTGTGGTGTCTCGCTCAGCAATGTCTCCTGCATTTGGCTGGTCAGCACGGCTGCATTTCACCTTTCAGGCTGTCGCTCTGGTCTCTGCACGCAGCAGGGTGATGGTACAGCCTTTCAGCTACTGTCGGTGGAATGAGAGTGTTTCCTCCCAGATCTGTAAATGAAAAACAAATTAAAAAAGCAAACTCACACCAATCCTGCTGCAGTCCTTAAAACCCTGCGAGCTGCAATTTCAGCAGGGCTTTCACAAGCAGACTCTCACAAGCTGATTTTGTTGGGTCCCTTTTAATTAGCTTTTTTTAGTTAAAAAAAGGGAAGGTACAATTCAGTCTGGAGCAGGCCAGTGGTCTGGAGGGATTTCTGTGTGGTTGTCGGTGGGTGAAAAGAAATGCATTTCAAAACCTGTTTGCAGTAAGACCACTTCTGAGAGTGCTCAAGGCTGAAAACAAGTGTTAGGACAGTGTGTTGGCCGCAAACTCCAGAAATCTCTATAGAATTCCCCAGCTCACCTGTCACAAGCTATTGATCTGGCGGCTTTTAATGTGGTGCACTGGGCAATCAAGGGATAACCCGAGAAGAGAAAGGAACGACGTAGGAGATTCCTAGGTAAATTAGAAGCACCATGAAGTTCCAAGCACACTACTCAGCTTTCCTGACCTGGCCCCTCTGTACATTGCATTTCTGTTGGCCTTCTCTGCAGATAAGCAGAGGTTTGCCCTGCTTGTGCAGGAGAGAGGTATTTGGCCACGCACAACCGTCCTGGGTGTTTGGCAGCACCCATAAACTGCTACATGCATTGCCTAGCAAAGCAGGAGGGCTGTGGTAGGGATGGCTCACGATTCTGCAAGTAACAGAGGAAAAGGGCTACAAGGATGGTGAGGGGACTGGAGCATCTCTCCTACGAGGAGAGGCTGAGGGAACTGGGCTTGTTCAGCCTGAAGAAGAGAAGGCTGAGAGGGGACCTAATATATACTCATAAATATCTGCAGGGTGGATGTCAGGAGGACGGGGCCAGACTCTTTCCAGTGGTGCCCAGCGACAGGACAAGGGGCAACGGGCACCAACTGGAGCAGAGGAAGCTCCAGCTGAACCCGAGGAAGAACTTCTTCCCTCTGAGGGTGACGGAGCCCTGGCCCAGGCTGCCCAGGGAGGCTGTGGAGTCTCCTTCTCTGGAGATATTCCAGCCCCGCCTGGACGCAGTGTTGTGCAGCCTGCTCTGGGTGACCCTGCTTGGGCAGGGGGTTGGGCTGGGTGACCCACAGAGGTCCCTGCCAACCCCTGCCATGCTGGGATTCTGTAACAGCAAGTCAGGTGGGAAACCACAGCCAGGGAACAAGGAATTGTTGGTGTCTCCTTACCGCAGTGTCACAATGTAATGCCTGTGCAGCAGTATGGCACGAATTTTTATGCGTTTTGCTTTGCACTTGACATATCAAGTGTGCAGCGTCCTTCCACCAAGTATGCTAACAGGTCCAGGGAGAACTGTAGCTCTCCAGGCCAGCCAGGTGATGTCTGATGTCTTACCTGCTGCTTCACCCAGTAAACCCCCGAGTCTGTTAACAGTGCCGGCTGGTAAACACGCTGAAGGTCTGAAGGTTGCAAACTCTTCCGTGAAAAAAAAGTGTAGGGAGTGTTGCTGAAGTTCAGTGATCTTGGCACATCCAGGCCCTGTCTGCTCCCACGCGTGACTGCTGGGCCTTGCTGAGACTGCAAAGCTGTGTCTTGGCGGGGAGGTTAAGGAAGCGTTGCCAGCAGGGAACAAAGTCAGTAGCTGTCGCTTTTTGCAAGACACTTGCTAATTCAGCATGCAGCTCTGCATCTGTGCGTCTGTGTGCTGCTGCATCTGTGGCACCTGAACGCCTGTCGTGTGTGTGAGCGTGAGCTTGTTTGCTCTGGAAGGACTGCACGGTACATCCAGGACTGATTTTCTTTCCTCTGTGCAATGATCTCACCTTGTGTTTACTCTCCAGACAACCTCAGGCTATGTCCAGTTTGACAATTGCAACTTCAAAGGTGGGCAGCTGCAGATCCATGCGCCAGGGACGTGCCAGGTGAGGTTCTGCACCTTCAGCCAGTCCAGCATCCACCTCCGCAGCGTGGCCCTCTGCATCCTGGAGAACTGTGAGTTCACCGGCAGTGAGAGTGCCTCTGTAACAGTGGAGGGCTGCCCAAGCTCTGATCGTAACTGGGCCTGCAAGCACCTGGCCGTGCTGGCCAAGTCCTGTACAGCTTCTGTGTGGGAGCCCAGCCCAGCCGGCTGCCCTGTGGCCAAGTGGGATGGCTGGGGGGAGTCACTGCTGGGGCCAGTGAGAACGTGCGAGATTGTCGTAGGGGAAGAACGAAGCAGCTTTCTCTCTGCTGCGGGTGCTCAAGCCCTGCTTGACTCAACCGAGGAGGACACTGAATCTGGAGAGAACCTGCGGGCAGCAAGGGAGGAGGAGTGCCCAGCCCACAACTCAAACTCCAGTGACACTGACTTATGCAGTGATGACGAAGAGGATGCTCAGGCTGCGCACGAACTGCCCTGCCAAGCCCACAGCCTGAGTCACGCACTTGCTGACGTCACGCACAGCAGGCTTCAGAGCAGCCGGCTGCACGCCCTTCAGAGGGACCTTAAGCTCAAGTCTCTGCAGCAGGAGCTGCAGCAGGACAAGGAGGCCCGGTCTTTGGCCAGCTCTCTGCAAGGCTGCATCATCCGACAGTGCCTTTTCAGGGATGGGAAGGGAGGAATATTCATTTCTTCGCAAGGGCAAGCAAAACTGGAAGGAAACATCTTCAGGGATCTGACCTACGCAGTGCGCTGCATACAGAACAGTAAGGTGCTGCTGCAAGCCCTCTTCCCTCTCCATTCTGCTCCACCAGAGCCTTTCCTGTGCATAGCTGGGACTAACCAGCCCAAACGAAAGGACTTCAGTCAGTGGCAAGTTGAGGCTGTGTAGTCAGGCCCGCTCTGCCTGTAAATTAAACTCTCACCCTGTAAAAGCACCGCTGTTTATCATCATGTTTGCTGCTCCCAGCACAGCCCGTACCTCAAACACAGGGGCTTGGTGTTGAGTCAGGACACTGCAGTGTCGACCCCTGGTCTTGCCCCTCGCCGTGGCCAGTCCCGGCTGCTTCACAAGCGCCCGCAGGGGTGGGTGCGTACCGCAGGCAGAGATGGGGTGCAAGGAGGGGTTTTGGCGGGGGACATGTGCTAGAGGCTGAGCTGAGGTTTTCTCTCAGCACAGCATCGTCTAACCCTGAGCTTGCCCAGAGCTCTCCACCTCTGTGCCTGCACTGCTCTTCCAACAGGACAGTGACAGCAGGGACTGGGGGAGAATCACACCGCCAAAACCCCCAGTGCTGGTGGTGCAGGGGGGGTCAGGAGCCTGCTCTCCAGCCACCTGCTCAGAGCAAGACCATCCCCACCGCTTGGTCACGGCATCCCAGGATCTGGGCCCATTTTTTAGTCTATCACTTTAAAAGACTGCAAATAAAAGTTTTGTGCAGGGAGAGAAAGGGAAGTTTTTCCACCCAGTTTTGGGAAAGGGCTTTGCTGTGATGGTGCTAACTTCCCATCTGCAGTTTCCACAGATGGACTGCCCAGTGCTGTTGCTTGTGCCCTGCAGAAATGCTTTGCTTCTTGGCAGCGGAGGATGACTCCTTCCATTCCAAGGGATACCTGTAGCAGAGGTGCCCTCCCGAAGGCTGCCCCACAGAGACAGACTGGCAGCAGGAGTGAGCAGAGGCACCTCACACGGCTCCACCGTGCTGCACAGACCCTCTGAGCTGCTCGGGGGCCATTTTCATGGGAGTTAGGCTAGCAACAAATGCGGGTCCAGCACTCTGGATCGCATTCTGGTTTTATTTCCTTGAGTTTGCTTCCAATTTTCTCAGCACCCTGGTTTTAACTGGTAGCAAATGGGGGGGAGATGAGGCCAGCCCAGCTTCTGCTCTCAGTGAGAATTTGCTCATCTAGGAGTTAGCAGAGAGGCTCTTGTCGAGAGGTGGGTGTCAGAACATCAGGCAGTGGGAGATGGTGAAATGCCTGGCTGTGAGGCAGTGGCAAGGTGTGCCTGGTTTTAACTGGTAGCAAATGGGAGGGAGATGAGGCCAGCCCATCTTCTGCTCTCAGTGAGAATTTGCTCAGCTAGGAGTTAGCAGAGAGGCTCTTGTCGAGAGGTGGGTGTCAGAACATCAGGCAGTGGGAGATGGTGAAATGCCTGGCTGTGAGGCAGTGGCAAGGTGTGACACCTGGACCAGAGTCTGGTGTGTGGGTCCCAGCCAGAGCGAGTGCCTGTGTCTCTGACCTCCTGTAGCTTGCTCTCCAGGCAGACAAGTGTGGCTGATGAAGACAGGCCCTGCTGAGCTCCACATTTAGTCGAGAGATTGAATGAAGCACCTTTCTGGAATGAGCAAATAAAAGGAAATATAATTTAATTACCTTCTGATCTGTGTTGCTCATTGAAGTAGGATATGCAAAGGCAATTTGTAGATTGTTTCTTAGCACTCATAAGACATGGATTTAAGGCATTATTTTGTTTGCCTGGAAAATACTAAAGACTGCTGCTGTGTAAATATTTGACTATTTATTTGCATAGAGGGAACTAGATGGTTATGAGCAGTGTCAGTGACGTCAGTTTGCTGTCTGGGCCATTTATACCCTCACATGGCAGGATCATTGCTCTGAAGGTGCAAGGCAACGCACAGGTCACCTGCTGAGCACGTGAGCTGTAGGGCACTGGCCCAGTCGGCTTCGTGGGAGGCTCGTGGGAGGCTCCGTGGCGTTGGACGTGTCCCCTCCGAGCAGGTCTGTGCAGCAGTGAGTCAGAAGGCAGCCTGTTGCCCACTGTGTACAGACAGGTGCCGACGGGGACTGCCCGAGTGGGGAGGGGACAGGTCTGTTGTACCATGAGCGGTGTGGAGATGGGACGGGCAATGGTCGCTCGCTGTTGCTGAAGGTGTGCAAGTGCAATGCAGTGAATGAAGCCACTGGGCACACCTGAACATGGGCTTTGTCAAACAGAGGGACGTGTCAGGCCAAGAGGATATCTTTGTTCCGGCTGTGCAGCACCAAGCACTGAGGGTCCCCATCCCCAAGAAGATCCATGCCCAACAGGCTTACCATAGCACTGTCCACACACACTGATCTTCCTTTCAGCTGGACAGTGTGCCTGGCCCACCCTGGGCTGCAGGAGAGACAGAGAGGTCATAGATGCACAGAGGTTGCAGAAGAGAAAGCTATACCCTTTGGTCATGTCTTTTTCCTCATCCTTCTAACTAGAAACTGCAGGTGCTTCTCCTCTTCCCTGCAGGTTATCATGCTGAGGAATGACATCCACCATTGCAAAGCGTCCGGGATATTCCTGCGCCTGTCGTCAGGAGGCCTGATTGCAGACAACAGCATCCATTCAAACTGTGAGGCGGGAGTGGACATTCGTAAGGGAGCCAACCCCCTAGTTCTGGTACGTAGCCCTCGAAGCTGTGCTGGAGGGCAGCGCACTCTTTCTCTCACATGCTGTTTCTCACCAAGGGGCAGCAGGGATCTATCTCCCAGCATAGAAAACACTGACCTTTCTGTCAGCTTTGCCCTTCAGCCTGTTTCTTAGATTTTTGTTGATGAATTAGAGTAAAACTAACCTAACAAGGTTAGTTTGCCTAACAAGGTTAGTTTGTTGCCTAACAAGGGCAAGGCACAGAGAAGTGCTGCCTGATTGCACATGCACGGTCTCCTGCTCTGTTTGACAGTACGTGCCTTAAAATTGCTGCACATAGAGGGGAGGGGAGGGGGATGTTCCCCTATCAAATAAACATTCCTGTGCAATGAGTCAACTCGTGCAACAAGGTAGTAAATTGGCACTGTGCTGTACATTGTTTCTCCCACGCTGGGAATCATGTTGTCTGCCCTGGGAGTTGGTGGAGGGTCTCAGGCAGGAGGGGAACAGCAGCCCACTCTCCAGCGGCATGGCTGTTCCTCGGAATCGGCAGCAGGTGACCTTGTCCCTGTTCACAGAATGCTGTATCTGTAGACATCCCTGAAGGAACCGGGGCCTCACCGTGCAGGGGAGGAAGAGAGGTAGATACAAACTACTGTCCCAGTGACCCTGTGGCTGCACCAAGGTGTCCATGTGAGCTCTGCAAAGGAGATGGGGCAGGCAGAGCCGTGGCCCTGTGGAGGAGGTGGCAGCTCACCCACAGAGCCACGGGCCCTGTCTGGCTTCAGGTGCAGCTTTGAGCTGCCGTGTGTTGATTCGCCTGGTTTGGCGATTCCTACCCCGCTGTTCCACGAGACACTGGGCTGGGACTGCTGTCCTGCTCGGAGGGCCCAGCATGCTCCTGTCCTCACGGGAGACACTGGCGCCTGTTGTGGAGAGGGCAGGGTCATTCAGGCTGTGCAAAGTGCTGTCTAGCAGCTTGAGAAAAGGCACCATGCTGTAATGCTGAGCTCCCTGCTGTGACTTCTGCCTGCAGCTGCTGTGGGGTGCCGCTGAGGGTCTTTTCCTCTTGGTGGCTGTGGGGACTTGCAGCCCCACCAGACCTAGCCAGTGTCAGACCGGCATGAAGGGTCCAGGGGGGCCCTTGGAGATGGCAGCAGGAGCTGGTGGAGGAGGAGGAGGAGGCAGGAATGATGGGAAGTCTGGCATTGTGTGCTAGAACCCCAAAGAAAGGTAAAAGTTAAGTGTGCCTTGAGCCTTTGAGAGTGATTTCTTGGCAGCTGGATTAATTACCCTTCTGCCCTTTACGCCAGCAGGGTTGGAAGCTCTTGCTTTTCTCTGTGGTTGCTGTCTGCTCTTACTTACTTTTATAAGTGACCTTCCTTCCTTTTGCTTTTATTCTCTCTACATGTGCAAAAATAAAACCGTAGTGCAATAAAATACACAGTGGCCTTCGCTCAGGCATTGTCGTCGTTGGCAATGGAAAAGGCATCATCCGTAGCAATCAGATCTATGGGAATAAAGAAGCTGGCATTTATATTCTGTATAATGGAAACCCTGCTGTGAGGTATGTTAGCTAGCACTGACCTTTCTCTCACCTCTTTTGTCTGTTAAGAATTATTCCTCCCACTGTGCGCACTTTTCTTCTCTCTTTTTCTATCCCCACCATAGAACAGAAATAGGACCACGGTGCACTAGTGTCTTTCTGTGACTTCCCTCTGTCTGCTTGCTGCACCCAGGTCTTTCCCAAGTGCCAGTCCTGGGTTTTCCCCCTGGATCTGTGGAGGACAGAGGCTGTGTTCAAGATGAGCAACTCACACATGTCATGGAGCTTTTTGCAGGAAAGGGAATAGCAGACCTCAGCACTGCAGTCATTGTTACTCCAATTCATCTTACTGCCTTAAACACCTGGAGCTACTGACTTGGGTGTGTTTAAAACCATTTGGTTTAGATGTTAGTACTGGTGTCTGTCAGGCTTTCTTCAGGTCAATGCCATCAGCTTTACGTGGTGGTATCAACTGGTAGCAATGAACCCAGAAATGAGATAGCAGCTTGAGTGTGGAATTGGTTGCAGGTGTGAGGGCATCTTGTCTGTCCTGCCACCCCTTCCCACTTCTCACTGTGCCTGTGGGTGACAAGGAACAGGTGTATGACAGCTCACCAGGGTGCTATAGAGCAGGGTAGGGCACAAAGGGAAGAAAATGGTTGCCCTGGATCAGCCCTGTAGCTGGGATGTGAGTATTCATGCTGGAAGTGTTGATAATTAACAGCGCTTCAGCCTTGAGTCCTGCAGTCCTAATGAAAGTGACTTCTTTCAGGTTGATGATCTGTGGGCAGAGCTGGTGAGGGTTAGACAGACTGCCTGTATGGACACTTACGAATGAGTTAATGAGGCACTTAGTCTATGCTGGGACCTGGAGAGGCAAAGTCTGCACCAGATGCACCAGCCCTGAAAATACAGGGGTCAGGGCTGGGCTTTCCGACAAGGGATTATGAAAGTGCTGTCACAGAGAGGCACTGATTTCTGAGACAAGCCATGTTGTAATGGCAGAGCCCAGAAGTGCAGAGGAAACACACTGCGGGATGGAGAGACTCACTCGACATCCTTGCCTCCATACCTTACTGCCACATCGTTTGGAACCCCAGCCTGCACCTCGTGGCTGACATATGACCACCAGTGCTTCCTGACACGTAGGAGACGCTGGGGAGGAGGCAGGGAGGATGCTCAGTGGGAAGACACGTTTTTCTCCTGACCAGCCACCCGTTTTGGAGGACCTCCCCTCCTCTGCTCGTGCACGCCGCTCCGTGCTGCCTTTCGGCTGCGCTGGCTCGAGTCCAGCTCTGGCACTGGCCGAGGCTGTGTGCCCCGCGCTGTCCCAGCTGTGCCACAACTCCGTTGAGCACGGGGCTCAACGCGGGCTGTCGGCACGGCTGGGTCTCACCGACAGGATGGCCTGTGCGGCTGCAAGCAGGCAGGGCTGGTGGAAGGGGAAGGTTTATGGTAGGAGTAATGTGCTTTTCTGGGTGCCTTTTCCACAGCTGGAAACGGAATAATGTTTTGCCCATCCCCGAGGGCTGCAAGCCCAGCTCCATCGTGTGACGCTGCCTGCAGCTGCCTGGCTGGGGGACGGGTTTCAGTGGGGCATTGCGAGGGGTTCCATGCAAAAAGCGGAGGGGGGTGTCCCTCTGAGAAGCGTGCCAGCGATGTGGGTGCCAAGTACCATTTTTAAGCATGACACAAGCCCTTGGGTGTGTACATCTTCCAGTCAGGGGTGCCTTGTGCGCTCTTCTCACCTGGTCCTCTTCCAGAGGCCGGTGCCTGTGTCACACCAGGCCCTGCAGCCCACAGCAGCTTTCCATTCCTTGGGCACTGCTGGTGAGCTGTGTTGTTGTGGCAGGGTGGTGGGGGCTTCCCTCTTTGGCTGGACTGAACAGCTCTGCCCAAGCAGACAGCTGCAAGTGGAGGGGCAGCCGTGCCAGGGCAGCCAAGGGCAGCAGAGGCACTGGCTGCTCGGCGAGGCGGGGTGGTCCCTGCTCTACCTGCATTTGTCCCTGGGAGCAGGACAGCAGCGTGAAGCACTGCGCCCACCCCTCCACCCCCAGCCAGCGCTGGTGATCGTGCGTTGGTGGTGATCGCGTGTCACAGGCACTGCTTTCCCACCCTGGCTCACTGCTGTAGAAGCTCTTCCACTCCCTCCATAGCCTGGGAGGAGTGGGCCATCTCCAGGGAGTGCTCCTGGGTGGATGCTGGGGCAGAGTTGGTGCCAGGCGCTGCACTCCATTGGTGTTTTTCCTTCCTGATCAACCTGATTGCTTTCCTGCTCTGAACCTCGGCAGCAAGCCAGAGATTCAGGGTCACCTTGTGTAGCAGGAGCTAGTGGTGGGCTTGGGACTGCTGGGCTTCGTTTCTTCTGACAGGCGATGGGTGCGAGCCCTGGGGATGACAGGTGACGCCTCTACACAGGTGCTGTGGGACCCATGCACGTTCTCCAGGCCACCACTCCCACCATGTGCTGTCGGTGCTCCTGCTATCATGTTTAATGTCTCCCACCGTCAGCTGCAATTGCTGTCTGCCCACTGCCCTCAGGGCTTCTCTCAGAGCAGCAATCCCATGGCAAATAAAGCTTCTCACCCTCTTCGCGGGCTGGGGAAGATGGGGGCAACAGGCTAAAGCCCTTGCAGACTCCTCCGTAATGTCCACCTCAGTGGGCTCCAGCTGCCACGTGGTACGTCTTTGGCACGGGGGTCTCCAGCTCGGAGCGCCCTGCTCTGCGCTGCCCGTGGGCGCAGGGAGGCTGCGGCAGCCAGCGTGGTGGCCTGCATCTCCATGGGTGTGCTGCATGGTGCTGGAGAGCCCAGCGTGCAGAGTGGTTTGCAGAGGAGCGAGTTTAGTCCTGAGGAGAAGGGAAGGCCATCTGAAGGGTGGGAGTGACCGTGGGTGCGGGCAGACAGCGGGGCAGGGAGGCCAGGTGTGGGGGGCAGTACTTGGTTCTCCCTGTCTGTACGCTCCTCATGGCTGGGGGGGCACTGGCCACTCCTGGAGACGGCACGCTGGCTGTGCAACGACTGGTCTGATGCGGTGGCTGTTTGGGTGTTCAGGAGTGGCCCTTTCTCACCTTTCGAACGCTCTTACTGATACGTTTTTCTCCGTGCCTCTTGCGTGCTTTCACCTCCTTGAAAGTGGTTTGCCTGTCCGTAGCTCCTCTCTGCTTTGCATGAACCTTCCCCACTGTGCTTCCCTCTTGCTGCACTCCGGTGTGCGGCTGCCCCGTGCCCAGCTCCCGCAGCTGGGCAGAGGCCACAGGCTGCGAGGCGTAGCCAGCCAGGGAGGCTGGGGGCCGTGCAGAGACCCGCTTCGCCGGCTTCACTGCGAACGGTGCAATCGGTGCAGGCAACACTGCTGCTGGTAATGTTCTTTTCTTCTCCTACCTTAGTGGGAACCATATTTTCCAGGGACTGGCTGCTGGAATAGCAGTGAATGAGAACGGCAGAGGCCAAATCACAGGTATGGGAATAAAAACGGCATTGTTATGCCCAGTTTGTCTCTCTCTTTAAGCTCTGTCTGTTTGATTGCAAAATTTATCTCGTTACGGTTCTTTGCTGTCTTTAGGTGCAATAATCCCCTGGTTTGCATTTCCTAGTTGGCATTTCTACCCTTGACACAGGCAGTATGTCTCTCTGCAGCGTGTCCTCCAAATTATTATTCCCATTGTCCCTGGGCCAGCTGGGGCATGGGACTGATTCGACACACTGCATTTTCTCCTCGCTGTGCCATCCAGTTAATGTCATGTTTGTGGCTAAAGCTGTCAGTGATGTTTTCCTGCTGTTGTGGCACAGCTTCTACACTCTGCCCTACACTGCAGAGGACAGGGAAGTGGTGGTTACTGGAACTGCTAATGACTGCTGTCCCGTGCGGCAGAGCATTGCCAGGCGAATGCGGGAAGCTCCTGAGGCTTGAACTCTGCCATGGGCAATGGGAGCTTTTTGGTGGGGCTGGGTCTTGCCTTGCAAGGTCTCCTTGCTCTTCCGTGGGCAGGAGGCTCACGTGGTCACCTCATCCTCCCTGCCTGGCCATAGGGAATGTCATCTGCGAGAACCAGTGGGGTGGGGCAGACATCCGCCATGGAGGCAACCCCGTTCTCAGGAACAACCTCATCTGCTGCGGCTACTCGGACGGTGTGGTGGTGGGTGAGCGTGGGAAGGGCCTCATCGAAGGAAACGTCATCCATGGTAAGGACACAAGCTCGGGTGGAGAACAATTCTCGCCTTCTCCAACATCCCCCCATCCTCTTGGGCTTGCTGGGTTGCCCTCTGCCTCCAGTGCACTCTGGAGCTGCAGTGGGTGCCCAGGAAGGGGCTGTGATGGGTGCCCAGGAGGGGGCTGCGGTGGCTGTCCAGGAGGTTTGGCCAGGAACGACACCAGGCCCATGGCAGTTCAAGCACTCCAGAGGTCACAGAATCATAGAATAGAATCGTAGGATCATTAAGGTTGGAAAAGACCTCTAAGATCATGAAGTCCAGCCATCAACCCAAGACCACCATGCCTGCTAAACCTGAGGTCATGCTGCCAGTGCTGCTGGCCTGTGGCTCACGAGGGGCCCTCTGGGGCTTCCCTCTGAGCCCTGAGGTGGAAGGTGGCCTTGTGCCATTGCCCTCGTGCAGGACAGGGTTGCAGGGGAGGATGTGTGGTCCCCACAGGACGAGCGGAGCTCGTCTGCTGCTGCCCAGCACCCACTCACGTGGGGCCGGAGGAGTCTGGCGGGTCTGTAATCTAGCAACTGGGCTAATGTCTGACAGAGGATAAACTCCCTGGGTGATTTCCTCAGGAAGCTGGAAATAGCTTTTTTAAAGGGGTTTTAAAGTGGCTGCGGAGAGACGCTGTCTGTCCCCACCACAGTGTGGGTCCAAGTCCTGGAGGGGCTGTGCTCCTCTCTGGCCCTGTTTAGGACAGGGGTGGGATGCAGGCCATCACATAGCATGGCTCTGTGTGCGTCTGTCTGTCCACGTGTCCCACTGGTAACACCGGAGGCAGTGGTGGCCAGCGGTGCTGGCGGCCAGTGTCAGCCCCTCCAGCGAGGGTAAAATACACAGACAGGGAGTTCTAGAGGCTTCTGGAACAGCAGTGGCCAGGGCAGGAGGAGGGTGGTCGTAGGGCCCAGCTACCCTTGGGGTGGCGAAGCAGCAGCTCAGCCTGCGTTAGGCACTGGAGAACACACCTGGGTCCCTGAGGTCAGGGAAGCCTGGCTCAGTGCCGCTGGAGCTGCTCGCTCCCTGGTCCCAGAGGAGGGGAGACCAGGGCATGCCTCAGCCCAGCAGCCCATGCTGGTGGCACTCAGGCTTCCAGCACTGTGGCACCTGCCTGTGGAGCCAGCAGACAGGGCTGTGCCTGGCCATCCCGCAGAGCCCTGGGGCGGGGAGGTTTACCTCCCGGTTGCAGGAGTTAAACCTGGGGACTCAAGCTGGGGTCAGAGCATGGACAGTGCCAGGAGACGGTGGAGGTGGGGACATGAAGGCCCTGAGGTCACGGACTCGAGGTGGCCCAGTGAGACCAAGTCAGGGCTGAAGGATTGCTGAGAGCCCATGACATGTAGGGTTGGCTTTCATGGGTGCTCAAAGAGGAGGATCACCTCTATCTCACCTGCACTGCACGTGGACTACCAGCCACTTTGGGATAGGGCTGGGGGTCTCCAAGTACTGCTTGGTCAGTGGACTATGCTGCCCACATTGCAGGCAACAAGGGCTGCGGCGTGTGGATGATGTCCTCCAGCCTCCCGCACCTTGTCAACAATCAGATCAGCCACAACAGCATCTACGGGGTGGCAGTGCTCTGCGGCAAGGACGACACTGATGCGTACCCCCCTGGGCAGGGGGCCAGCGAGAGCTTCCAGGAGGAGAGAGAGGGTGCCGGCGCGGAGAATGACTCTGACAGTGAGGAGGAGCACCCAGCTGCCCGGCATCCTGTCAGCGTGGCTCTGGTGGAGTTGAACAGCATCAACCACAACGGAGGTGAGCTTGCAGCCCAGGGCTCTTCCTGGGCTCTGGGAGAAGGGGTGGCGTTCAGAATGGCGTGTTGTCCTGGCCCACCAGCACTGGGTCTGACAGGGTCTTCCTCCGCTGCCACCAGGCCAGGAGCACCCTGGAGATATGGTGGGCCAAGACTTGAGTGTGGGTGGGTTTTTGTCCTTAAGCTCCCAGTCAGAATCACAGAATCACAGGATGGTCGGGGTTGGAAAAGAGCTCTGTTGGTCACCCAGTCCAACCCTCCTGCCCAAGCAGGGTCACCTACAGTAGGCAGCACAGGACCTTCTCCAGGAGGGTCTGGAATATCTCCAGAGAAGGAGACTCCACAACCTCCCTGGGCAGCCTGGGCCAGGGCTCCGTCACCCTCAGAGGGAAGAAGTTCTTCCTCATGTTCAGATGGAACTTCCTGTGCCTCAGTTTGTGCCCATTGCCCCTTGTCCTGTCACTGGGCACCACTGAAAAGAGCTTGGCCCCATCCTCCTGACACCCAACTGGGGAGCCCAGAACTGGACACAGTACTCCAGATGAGGCCTCACCAGGGCAGTGTAGAGGGGAAGGAGAACCTCCCTCGTCCTGCTGGCCACACTCTTCTTGATGCACCCCAGGATCCCATTGGCCTTCTTGGCAGCCAGGGCACACTGCTGGCTCATGGTCAACCTGTCGTCCACCAGGACACCCAGGTCCCTCTCCACAGAGCTGCTCTCAGCACCTTTTAGAAACAGAAATGCGTTGGTGGCCATCGTGACTGAGGCTGCAAGCTCTTAACCGATGGCTCCTCTGCTTGGTTGGCAGCTGCTGGGTTGCACGTCAGAAGCAGTGAAGCGCTCAGCTTCGTCGCCAATGCCGTTCACGCCAACCACGATGGCGGGGTGGCCGTGCTGCAGAGCAGCCAGCTCACATGCGTTGCCAACAACAGCATCTCCTGCAACAGCCGGGCCGGTGTGCGCGTCGAGGCCGAGTGCCAGGTGGAGCTGCGCGGCAACGGCATCTACGAGAACAGTGGCCATGGCATCGTCTGCAAGGGACAGGGTGTCATTGCAGAGAATGACATCATCGGCAACCGCAGATGTGGCCTTCAGCTATGCCAGGCAGCAGACATGAAGGTGCATCTTGCAGGCGGGCTGGGGAGGCACTGATGGGTGCATCCCTGCGGCCAGGGCAGAGGCGAGGGAGAGCCTGCTGCTGCGGCTACCCTCCCTCCCTGGGTGAGGGGGAAGCCAGCAGACCCCAGTAGCAAGCAGGACAGGAGGGACTGCCCCAGCATTGCCATCAGGAGGAGTGGACAATCAGGATCGTGTCCCTGACCCTGTGATTAGACATGGTATAATTCCCAGGCTACATCAGAAGTGTATCCAGGCAATCGAGGGAAGCTGTCACCCACCTACTTTGCCACTGGGAGGCTGCATCCAAAATGATGTGTCTGGTTTGGGACCTCAGGGTCAAGAGGGAGGTGGAGAAAAGGGAGAGGGTCCAGTGCAGAGCTACCAGGGTGGGCAAGTGCCAGGACACAACTGATGACATGAGGCGAGGGAGCTGGGCTTCATTAGTTTGGCAAAGAGGAGACCAAGGGGGTTCTGACAGCAGCCCGCAGCCGCCTGAAGGGCAGTCAGAGCCGAGCCCTTCTCATCAGTGCCAGGCAGTAGAACAAGGGTCAACAGCACAAGCTGCAGTGGTTCCTGGACCTTGGGAGGTCCACATGGGAGACTTGGGGCCTCTTGCCTTGGAGGGTGGTGCAGCCCTGGGACAGGTCACAGAGTGGTGGGGGTCACCATCCTTGGGGGCCTCCAAGCCTTGGCAGGACAAAGCCAGGGCTGCCCTGATCCAGTGCTGTAGACAGTCCTACTCCAGAGCTCCCTTCCACCAGAACTCCTTAACTCTAGGTTTTCTGTGGGCAGTCATTTCCTGGCTATGGCCCTGAACCCTTGGTATGCTCCCAAATTGCCAGGGAGTGCTAGTGAGTCTGCAGAAGAGCTTTGGGGTTTGGTTTTGTGTTCAAAGAGCCATATGAACAGTGTCCTTCTGCTTGGACCATTCTGTCTAAAGCTTCTTTTGCAGGTGACCAAGAACAGGATCCAGTCCTTTCGGGACTACAGGATTGCTCTCTTTGATGAAGCCAAAGGCCTGGTGCAGGAAAACCTCATTTTCCTAGGGAGATCCAAGAAATCCATTTTGCGACCGGTGTCAAATGCAGAGGATTGCATCATCCAAAACAATGTGCTTCTCACCTTCAAGAAAAGGTCAGGCCCCTGGCACCTTGGGGTGCAGTTCTGAGCTTGGAGCCACCGTTGTGCTCCTGTGTTAAGCGAGCACTGGAGGGCTCTGCTTTGTAGCTCATCTTCCCAACTTCCCACACGTGTTGACCCACGTCACCAGCCCCATGTGTGTAGTGAACCGCTGCAGATGAGGACTGCAGATCAAGCAGAGGCAAGAGGTTCCTCATGGAATACTTCTAAAGCCAAGGGAGGTGCTTGGATTATTCCTTGTCTGGCCAGTCTGTGTCTTCATGATGTCTCTGAGCATAGGGACATCTGCCCTGTGCACTGGCCATCACATTGTCCTGCACAGTGCTACCTTTGAAGCCTGGCTGCTGTGTTTGCATACTGCACTGCTGTCCCTGCAGCACGGACAACCCCAGGGTGTTTGTGGGTTCTCTCTGGTTTGAGAGAGTTGGAAGAAGGAGGAACTGCCAGAGCCACTGCCAGTCTGCATTGTTCTTCTGTGCTGGTGAGGAGGGTGGCTTCAGGCACCAGATTCCACCTTCAGCCTTTTGCTACCAGAGCAACGTGAATGCTGAATGGGAAAATGGATCTTGGAGTGCTTGTTTTTCCAGGGCGTGATTTAGCTGCCCTGGTCTTTGAGCCAGTGTGAGAACATGTCTTCTGGTGGCCATCAGAGGTACTGCTGTAGCTGCAGACCTCTAATGGGTATTGCAAAGCTTTCCTTAGCTGCTGGCTGTCATCCAAATCTCAGTGACTCTCATCATTATAGGCCTTGTTCAAAACAGGTCACTTGAGACCACTACTCTGCAGCAGATGCCTGAGGAGGGAAAGCTGGAGCCCCGTCACCCATACAAGGGCTGGCTATTCAGTGGAGTGTTCTTTTTAGCTACAGATTTGACCTTGACTCTTCTCTCTGAGTCACAGATCATGGTCCAGGGCATGGGAGAGGACACACCAAAACTGGAAACTCGCATTACTGGAGGGAGGTTAGGCCGTGGGGTCTCCCAGGCTGATGATGCTCTTCCAGAGTCCCATAGTATGGAAGTCAAGTGCACTAGGGAGGACTGTCAGCACCTCCTCCACTGCCCTTAGCCCCAATATTCCTCTGTTAGGTTTTCAGTTCTCGGCACCTTTAAGGATTTTTTGGGAGGTCCTAGCATTGATTCTTCTCTGCAGGCTCTTGCCCCATTCCCCAGAATTTGCAGGCACTTAGAGCTGTTGGCTGTGAAATCACAGACGGTAGTTTTTGCAGTAAAGCAAGATGTTCTGTGTCAATTCTCCAACCATTTCTGTCCCACTTGGTTTTTGGAACAGACATTGCATGGTGAGCATGGTGCACCTGCTAGCACTGCTCTGCCCCTTTCCTCTTTGAAGGGTGAACCTCAAGGCAACGCTTCTCAGGCTGCCCTGGAAGCGCCGTTCCACCCTGCTCGAGGCCACATGTGAGGTGTCTCTCCTTTTCCCAGGTTTGACACGGAGTGCATGCTGATCGACCCCCCGGCACGGCCTCACATCGAAGGAGGTGCCCCAGGGTCCTGCACGGCGGTTGGTGGTCAGAGGGTTTCCAGCATAACCACCAGGGCGGACAGGGGCTGCCGTAACCACGGGAGCATCTTCTGCGCCATTCTCTGACCAGGGAGGAGGTTTCTTCACTGGTGTCTCTGCCTGTCTTTTCTCCAGAATTGCCGACGGGAAGCTCTCACAACTCAGGGACGGGGAAGCCCATTGGACTGTACTGCCTCTTTCATGAAGGATTTTGCAACTTCAGCAGCACCTCACTAAATAAAAAAATATCTGGGACAACAGCCATTAGTGTCTTCCTCTTTGCCCACCGAGATCGCTGCTGGGGGATGTTCCTTGGATGAAATGACTCCTGGCAGAATGAGCTGTGTGCCTGGCTGGGCCTCCTCAGCCTGAGCTCCAGGCGAGCCCCTCTTGCTGGGGGGCCTGCAGCATTATTTATATGTGAATCACTTGCTTTGAAGCTGCTTTGTCCGTGACAATCTGTGCCAAAAGACTCAGAGGCTGACATCGTGTTCTCCTGCAAACGTACGCAGAGACATACATATGTGCGGTGTGGGTACCTCCAGCAACTGGGCTCAGATGCTGTCTGCCCGGTACCTGCCCCTGGGTCTCAGTGTCCCCAGTTTCTGGCACCAGTATATATGAGCCCCCAGAGGCTGCAGGCCCCCCTGAACAGACGGGCAGGCAGAGATGCAGAGAGACAGAGAGAGTACCTGGGCTCCCAAACCACTTCACCTGCTTGTTGGTAGCAGCCCCACACAGATCACAGAATCACTGAATGGTCAGGGTTGGAAGGGACCTCTGTGGGTCATCTAGTCCAACCCTCCT